TGCAACAATTCTTCTCTGATAGCCTCCTCAGTACTGAAATGACAGGTATGAGCCACCACACATACTTCAAGTAAAAGCTTTCATTTATGAACTAATGTTTCTTGACCTTTACTATCAGTGTTAGTTGTCATTAGTAATGATCTTTTATAAATACATTGGAAATTATTGTCTTCCAGCTTCATTCATAGCAGAAGAGTTTAGCTAACACCAACTGTGAGTAGAGCCCGCAATGAAGCAAGATAACAAAAATATCATGCTATCCTTTCCAACCATTTGACCTCTCGCTTCAATCTCCACTAGGAAATATCACCTACTTCTGCAAACAACGGGTATATATTTTTACATATAACAATACATAGTTGTACATCATGGCATCTTTTCCCATCACCATTCACTGCACATTAATTCTATTCATAGACGGTCACTACTGTAATACTTATTCACAATAATTACCACTTACATAAAAATAAAAACCAATGTGTCAAAAGTCAAAGGAGAGTTAAAACTAAGTATCATATAAATGTCTTTAGAGGAAAAAATTAAATATTTAAATATATGAGTCTTGATTTTCAGTTAGCAGTAGGCTTTATTTATTTATTTACTCCCAAGACACAGAAGCATGCCGTACAATGAAAGCCACTTAACTTTCACTTGCTTTCCACTACAAAGTAACACACTGTTCCATATCTTTTCATTCGCTCACTCTTTCACCCAACATTTCTAATTCAGTTGGATGGGAATTTGTCATCTTTCACAAGCAAGCACTTGTACTCTGTTAGACAGTGGGGATGGTACAGAGATAAACAAGTCAAAAGCACAGTAGTCAAATACTTCAGGAGCTAAGACTGGATATAGGTAACAGCAATAAGACAGGATACAATAAAACTGTAAAAGATGCACAAAGAGTGAAATCTGTACATAGAAGAAAGAAAGACTCAAGATTACTCTTTTTTTTTGTGGGCAATTTTTTTTATTATTAATATTTTTTTTTCTTTTCCATTTTAAATTTAGATAAGAAACAAGGTTGCTTCACAAGTCAGTTCAAGGTCCCTCTCCCTTTCCCTCCCCTCCTCCCATGCCCTCCCCCCATCCCCCCCCCCCCGTTATCCCCTCATTCCCCCAGGGAGGGTGAGGCCCAGAGGGTTGATCTCCAAAATTTACAAAGAACTCAAGAAGCAAGTCTCCAAAACAGCAAAGGACCCAATTAAGAAGTGGGCTGCAGAACTAAATAGAGAATTTTCAATAGAGGAGTCTAAAATGGCTGAGAGGCACTTGAGAAAGTGCTCAACATCCTTAGCCATCCGGGAAATGCAAATCAAAGCAACTCTGAGATACCATCTCACTCCTGTCAGAATGGCTAAAATCAAAAACACCAATGACAATTTATGCTGGAGAGGATGTGGTGAAAGGGGGACACTCCTCCATTGCTGGTGGGAGTGCCAACTGGTTCAGCCACTTTGGAAAGCAGTATGGAGATTCCTCAGAAAAATGGGAATAAACCTACCACAAGACCCAGCAACTGCACTCTTAGGCATATATCCAAAAGATGCCCATTCATATAACAAAGATGTCTGTTCCACTATGTTCATAGCAGCTTTATTTGTAATAGCCAAGATTACTCTTAGAAAGCTGATTTAGCAGATAAGTACATACTAGTAGTTCACCAGGTGGAGACACCTAGCAGATTTACAAGAGCAGAATTTAACCTAGAGTTCTAAGGTATCTTATCACACCTCTCATGTGCACCAGGCACCTGTTATTCCAAGCAATGCTGGTCTTTATCTTTATGAAGATTTTATCCAATAGTTTATCATTTTATCCAATGAGGAATTTGAGGTTCAAGGATGCACGACCCACAATTTGCTAAAATGTAGAAGGAAGATGTATTGAATATAAAATCAGGGTCCTCCCTTAGTTACCAACAGTGCTACTAGTTTCTCACTGTTTCCCAGGTTTATTTTTCCACTTGTCCCAACCTTAGTTTTTGAAAAGAAACTTTAGTACGTTTATGAATTTGGTTGCTTTTTGTGTTTTTCCCCTCTTCACAATGAACATAGAGTTTACTCAACATTAATTTGTAAGTTAAAAGGAGTCTTGCTAAAAAACAAACAAAAACACAACAGTATGATGATCTTTCTCTTTCAAATAGCTGTTTCTTCCTGTTAAATGTAAAGATTTCTCTGCTCTGCTCTTGTGTTATTGCAACAGTAATAGGTACAAAGTTGGTTTACTTCTATTACTGACTACTCAACTCCCACCCTCTGCCAGAAGCTTCATGGTTTGATTCATTCAGAAAAGTTGTCATCATTTTCTTTTAGAATATTGCCCCTTTAGTTTTCTAATGTCTCCTTAGATTTGCTAAAGAAATCTATCTTTTCTATGGTGAGATTTTTTTCCTTCCATCTCTACCTTCATACAAGAAGGTAATTTTCGCTGGGCATTGGTGGCGCCCGCCTTTAATCCCAGCACTCGGGAGGCAGAGGCAGGCGGATCTCTGTGAGTTCGAGACCAGCCTGGTCTACAAGAGCTAGTTCCAGGACAACCTCCAAAGCCACAGAGAAACCCTGTCTCGAAAAAAAAAAAGAAGGTAAATTTCTTATTTATACTTCCTAGCTATCACTTTTCTCCTTGGCTAACTTTTATATCCTATCTGACCCACCTAGTAGGGCTTTAATTTCAATACACATAATACCTGATATTTTTACTTCTAGAAGTTGGAAATCATGGCTTATTTTCCTTTTTTGAAACATCAGCTACTTTGTACGGCATGGGTCTTTTGTTTACACACAATTCCTAGTTTATATTCCTGCCTGATAACAAGCTAAAGTCCATCTATCCATCTGTCCTGGAGTTGGATGGTCATTCTTCCTCCAGTCCTAATCTTTCCAGTCTGTGTTCTCTTACTCTGTCTTTCAGGCTGCTATCCTAGCCTTCTGTGGCTGTACATTTTCTAGCTCTTTTAGGTGTTTAGAAATTTACTTGTTTTCTTTTTTTGGTGAGACATTTTTAATTCGTATTTTATTCAGTATTTGTGTTTACAGTGGGAAGATGAGGGGTAAAGTAGGAGGTATTCTGTAGTACTTAACATAATGCTTAATCTAAGTGCTTCCTTGATGAGTAACTGTGACAAATATATCGTGTGTGTGTGTGTATGTAAAACCGTATAATTATTATTTTATTCAAATACAGTAGGAAATGATAGGCAAAGGGTAACCATAATTCATGAGAAAATCTACAGACCAAGAGACTAAATATTAAGGGAAGCAGCAATAATTCTCTACGATAGACTATGGTATGAAAGGGAATAATTGAAGTTGTTCGGAGAAAAAGTGGAAAATTATCTCTCAGCCAAACATTTACATACATTATCACCCATAATGTCCAACAGCCATTTCATTTAGAATATTGAGCCTGTGAAGTATTATTTGATTCTATTAGAGGAATTGAACTAACACAGGAACTAAACTTGGGTCTCCCAGTTTCAAAAAGTCATAGTCTAAAATATGGGGTATAGCCTATGTTTTGAGATTGTGAAGCTGCACACATTAGAAGCCAAAATTGAGCAAGGTGCTCTCAAAGCAAAGATAACAAGAGTCCTAGAATAGGTCTCTGGAGTTCTGAGTTACTAGAAGTACTCTGGATGAGCATAAAAAGCCAGTTTCACCAGCAGCATTGGTTTGCAAGTGCGTCTGAAAGGGTCTCTAAGAATGTCAAAAGAATGAGTTCAGGGGTTTCAAATGTAGTGTATTTTCTAATTATAATAGATACTCATTTCTATTTATCTTCATTGCTTTTATGTTATAGAGTGTTATTTTATGACCTATTACATTTGATGCTGTGGAACATTAATTTAATGATGCAAAGTTGTGTTGCATTCTTTAATGTTGCTTTTGTTTAACTCTGTGAAGCTATGTTATTTTGCCTATCTAAAACACCTGGCTGGTCTAACAAAGAGCTGAATTGTCAATAGCTAAGCAGAAGAAAGGATATGTGGGGTTGGCAGCAGAGAGAATAAAGAGGAAGAGAAATTTGAGAGGATCCAGATCAAGCAACAAGAAAAGAACGGAGGAGTGGGAAAAGAAGGGGCCAGCCATCCAGCAACACAACCAGACATGGAATAAAAAAGAAAGCAAAGATACATAGAAACAGAGAAAGGTCAAAGCCCAGAGGCAAAATATATATGGGATAATTTAAGAAAAACTGGCTAGAAACAATCATAGGTAAGGCTGGGAATTAATAAGAGATAATAAATCTCTGTGTGTTTTATTAGGGAGCTGGATGATGGGCCCCCAAAGGAATGAAATTCAATGGCAAAAAAATCCAACTACAGCTGTACTTTGGATTTTGTTTTGTTTTACTTTAGTTTTGAGACAGGGTCAGTCTTCTGATGTATGCCAGGCTGACCTTGAACTCTTGAAATATCAGGGAGGATGACCTTAAGCACCTAAGCCTCCAGCTGCCATCTCCTGAGTGCAGAGGTTACAGGTGTGCATCACCACACAGGTCTTCTTTACTTTAATAATCAATTATTTGAGTTTTATAAGTCTTACTTTTATTTTTGTAAGGAAAGTCACAATGTTGTAAAATCCCAAGGCTTCTGCAACACTAATTCTGCTTCTGTTTACCTAGAGTGGATACAGAGACTTGTGTAAGGTACAAGCAAGGAGCTAAGCTAGACGTCTATGGAGGAAGGTAGGCAAGAGATATGAAGGGCTGAAACTAAAACAATGGCAGAAAAATTAGGCAACTAGAGCATTTATTTACAAAATATACCACAGAAAGAATAAACAGCATTTAGTGAGTAACAGCGTCTCATTCTGAATTTTTAGGCAGAGGTGAAAATGAGAATAGCAATGTTACACAACATAAACAAACCAGGAAAGGGAAGGAGAGTTTGGTGGATAAAGTATCCTTGAAGAAAATGCATTATGAGAAGTATGAATGCCAGTATGCTGGAACAACACCTGATCAACATGTGGATGAAATACTAAACCTCTGCTGATGCTCTACTGTAGAATACAGTATTGTGTGCACTGAGGAAAAAACTTGCAATTTTGGTTATTAGGGTGACATATGGTCCATGACTATGCCCACAATAATAGGCATCCCCAAAGCAAACACAGGTCAATGGGGATGCAGAGGATGCGGGGGAACAAGAGATGAGGAACTTGGGGTTGATGTAGGGAAATCAAGAGTGGGCTTTGCTGCAAAGGAGTCATATGCTCCTCCTAACAATCGACAGTAGCATGATGGTAAGAGCCAGTCTGAATTGTGTGACTCTGAGAAAGATGAGAATTATATAATCTGCGAGTGGAAGTGTTCTGCTGAGGAAGCTGAAAGCCAAGGCAGATCAATGGGATGGGAAATGATTAAAACTTTATTGAGGTTTGTGGACAGAAGTCCTGAATGTCCAAGAGTCAAACAGAGCATGGAAAAGGAGGGTGTGATCAATAAAGCAGTGATCTAAGGGGGTGAGTGACAAGGGGAACAGGTGCAGAGTGATTACTAATTCTGAGATAATAAGACTGGACACTCGGAAACTCATGAGAAACTTTAGATCCCATGGTGTGTGTGTGTGTGTGTGTGTGTGTGTGTGTGTGTATGTGTGTACACATGGCAGAGGCACCACCCATCTTTTTCTGCAGACAGAGACTCTCACAGCTCCAAATTTGAAAAGAAACTGGGCTGGCTGACAAGTAGACCCCAGGATATGCCTGTCTGTCTTCCCAGAAGTGGAATTATAACCACACGCAACTGAGCCAGAATTTTATTTGTCATCTTTTCTGTGATTGGAACACAGGCACTTGTGCTTGTGAAGCAGCAACCCCCATCTCGTCGTCTCTCTGGCCGCTCTGAAGCTTTCAATATTGCCTGCATAGGCCGTTTGAGTGAAGCCTAAGATTTAACTCACAAAGGCTTCATTGACAGAAACTCAGACTGTTCAAGTTCAACACGTGACAGATCTGTGGCATCATCAGAAGGTAAGATAGCAGAGTTACTCAGGAGCATATTATAGTCTGCAATCAAACTAAGCAGTTATGAGGAAACTACTCAGATGAAGTGAAAATAGCCTGCAGTGTGTTGTATGACTGCAATAGCAGGAGCTGATAGCTACAAAGTAGGAGAGAGTACAAATAACAGGCTGGAAATTCAAACCCAATGTGTTTATTAGTTTCCATTAAGCTGATTGGTGACAAAGATGTGTGTGTGTGTGTGTGTGTGTGTATTCATGTAATATGAAAAACAATATAAGTAGTTAAAAACATAGAGATACCACAGAGATATTGCTAAGAACCAGTGTGATGGAAAAATTATATTGCTGGTAGAATTTTCAGTTTAAGAATCACTTTAAAACATTTTGATTAATTAGTTAATTAACTGTGTGTTGGGAGAGAAGAGGCAGAGAGAGAGAGGGAGAGAGACAGAGGATGAGCAAACCAGTGCACACTCAAGAAAGTACATGGTAAGGTCCCAGGACAGCTTCCAGGAGTCGGGTCTCTCCTTGTACCTTGAGGTACAGGCTCTCTGGCTCTTGTTGTCTCTGCTGTGCTGCACACTCTAGAACCAGATGGGCCAAGAGGTTCCAGCCGCTTCGCCCGACTTCATCTGGCTGTCGGCGTGTTGAAATTAGATGTGCATCCCAGCATCTAGCTTTTAATATGGGTTCTAGGGATCAAACTCATGTCCTCAGACTTTTCCCCACTCTGCATTTCCCTAGCAGTTTTTAAACCCTGCTTGAAACTGCAGACGAGGTGCCGCTGTAGTCTGTGATATGTCATCAGGGACTGAATACAAGACCTTTAGTTTGTGTGGCATGTGACGGGCACAAGAAAAGTGTAAAAGCCTCTGCTCAAACCCAAATTTTCTTTAACGTAAAAGGATAGCTTTCTGGTGGTTTTAGTTATACTCTTTTTTTTTTTTGGTTTTTTGAGACAGTGTTTCTCTGTATTGTTTTGGAGTTTTGGAGGTTGCCCTGGGACTCACTCTATAGACCAGGTGGGCATCAAACTCACAGAGATCCCCCTGCCTCTGCCTCCCAAGTCTGGGATTAAAGGTGTGAGCCACTAATGCCTGGCTAGTTAAAATCTTTTCTTAAATCACTCTTTTAAAAATAGTTACCTCACTGTCCCCTTTCAACTAGGTAAGATAACTACTATGGAAAAATGTACAGAGACATGGACACAAGGACCACTGTGTGACATCTGGCTCAGACTTCCTTACAGTGAGGCATTGAATAAAAACACTAAGCTAAGATTCCCGGTGGGGAGGACTAAGAACGTACTGTTTCTTCATAAGTGATTCCCCTTGCATTAAACTCTAAGAAAATCTTTTAAAATGAAGTCTTTTATAATACATACTTAGTAACTCAGTGGATAGTATCTTCAGCAAAATTTTATATATTAAAAAACTTGAATGAGACTTATTTCTTCAAGCAAAAATAGTCTCTTAAACAAACAGGTATATGATTTTTCAAGAAGGTCATCAAATTCAGAATCTAAGCTACTTGAACTATATCAATATAATGACACAATTAAGAACATAAGAGGGGTTGCATTAAAAGTCTTTTTTACTGTATTTCTTCTAAATATTTTAATTTGATTTTTATGAAGTGTATGTAACTATGTCCACGTGACAAAGTCTCTGTGAAAATCCAGGAAAGAGTACAGGAGGAACCTCAGTAGGTGTTGATCCCGTCTTTTTGACAAACTGTTGCCTTCATCAGTTTCTATTATAGCTATGGTTGAATTTAAGACCACAGCCCTTTGGAGAAACTGATTCATGTACTGGAACAACTGACTCCCGTTCTTGAGAGCAGTTGCTGAAGTAACTAACTTAAGAGTCGAAGCCAATTGTTAGAATCAATAACAAGTGAACACATGATAATTTCCTAGTTTTAATTTAATAACTGCTTAACTCACCTAGTTTTTACAGTCTAAGAATACTCAGTGTATGTTGAATCAAATTTATTGGATTCATTTTTCATTAAACATGCTCCTCTATTTCTAATGCTTAAGATGCCAGAGTTTGAGGTTGGTGATAAGGACTTGGTGAAAATGTGTAGCAAAAAATCTTGTGTCATGATTCTAGTTCATGTGCAGAAACACTATGCAGAACATGACACTACTTTCTTTCAGCTAAAGCAATCAAAAATCACTGGGTCTGGATAATTCTAAGAAAATAAAATTTCATATATATGTGTGTGTGTTTATATATGTATATAAATGTATATGTAGATATATATTCTTAGTATGTATATATCTATGTATGTACATTGTAATGTTTACTTAATGTGTTCAGTGAAGCCAACTAAAAATATTTCAGTCTTCTAAAATCCGTGTTTAAACCCAGAGGTTGCTACTGATGTCCTTGGAAGAGACAGTTCTTTCTGCACTGAACGACAGTTAATGCATAGTCTTATAATTGGGGAAAGTACTGAGAATCAACAACTGTTGAGTGTCAATCCTAAGTAGGACATCATTATCATCCTCTCCATGGCTCAAATAATATTGCGAAAAAGGTGGCTGAAAGCATCAAAGGGCCAGAGGATGGGAAAGATTTCTGTGAAAGACGTCTTTTGGATACGACAGTACTGTTGAACTCAGAACAGCTCTTGTTACCAGCACAAGACCTACACAAGACTGGGTCGATCAACATTCCACCATGGACAGGGAAGGGGCATATTGGGCTCTGCCCCTTGTTGATGTCCTACTGACACATAACATTTGCTGGAATAGGGACAGTCACATGTTTTCAGTGGCACACCCACTGGTAAGTTGACCCTGCTTACGTACATAATTGCTCAAACATCCATAGTCACACAGCTAACTCTAATTAAATTCAGTTGAAAATGACACGAACAGTAAACAGGAATAGATTTTGTTTGAACAGTGACAGAAAATCAAAGCAAATATTAAGATACTCAATTATGTATGCTGTGATGAAACATGAAATAGGAATATCATTTTGAATTTCATAATGTTAACAAGAAACTCATAACCCAGCATCATTGTTTTCCTCTCTCCTTACAGGGTCTTCTGGTCTACTGGACCCAAAGTATGTGGAGAACTAAGCTTATTGATTGGCAGTGAATCTCATACAAAATACATCTACATTTTACAGTTAGCTTTTACAAATGTATCTAAAATGAATTTATTTCCTTATTGACTTGATACAGCTTAGAGAACAAGAGGCACATAAAATAAACCCATTATGAAAATGACTGAGGTTCTATTTTTTTCTTGTTTTAATATGTTGACTTGTAAAATCCTGAAGGTTATTTTACATAACATTAAAGACGGCATAGTTAATTAATTTTAATTACTCTGCATTATCCATGCCTCATCTTCCTCTTCTCCTTCCTTCCTCTCTTTTCTCTCCTTCTTTCCTCTTTCTTTTCTTTCTTTCATTTAGTCTTTTTTCTTGCCATATAGGGATGGCTATTTTAAATGGAACAAAATTCTGTTAAAAATTCCATAGTGAGGGACTATGTATTGAAAGTGAAAGGAACATTCAAATGTGCCTATTTAAGAGTGTGTATGTCTCATTTCCAAGTAGGCATTCCATACAAGGGAGGACATAGTAACAGAAAGGATTGAAATGGCTTAAGTTATAGTATCCATTTTCCTCTACATCTTTCATGTAGTTATAGAGGACACTCCAATTTGCTTTAGAACACTTCATGTCGGACAAGTGGTCAGCTCAATGAGTCATAATGACCAGAAAATAGTACTCTTTCCTCAGTAACAACAAACCAGATGTGTCATATTTCTCTCTGTAACCTTTGAAGTTCTACTTATATGATACATGCAGAATAAATGAACAATCAAATAGATGTAAAATATTAAAGGTTAAATATTTATTTGTAGAATGTTTGTGTTTCAGTTTACTATGTAAAGCTTACTGACTTTGTATTAATCTACATATTTTCATTATGTATCAGAGATTTCTACTAAATAGACATCTGTGCTAAGGTAAATAATGTAATTATAAAAAATGGCAGTGATATTTTACATGATACAATATCTCTGATAGATCTTAGAAAAATTAAGAGTTCTGTACAGTGGTGATTTCTTTCAAATAATGATGAAAATGATACTGTAGACCAAGAAGAAATAAGATAAATTTTACCAAAATATGGAATCTCTAAATACCATTTAAAGATTAACAGTATCATATATTTATAAAATAATATTGACATATACTATCTTCAATTTTATTGAAAGAGGAAAATGTGTAGTATAACTTAGAAGATACTTAGTTACAAATGGAAATTTTATTGTTAGCCTAGGCTGTAGACACTGCACCATCTCTCTGGCCTAGCAACTAGAATTTTATACTAATTGATAAATGGGCTTGAACCTGATGTCAAATCCAGCTCTGTGATATAGATCAGTTTGGTCCCTTATCTGCATCCTGTTGTGTGTAATATAATCATTAGATAATCCCATACTAGGGAAACTAGTTCATGTTCTTCAAGCAAATCTCTTCTTTCTTGTTCTCCATTATCTGCATTACCTAAATCTAGTCACTCAGTTCTACCATTTTTCTTATTAAATGCCTTTTGTACTGCAAACTTCAAACTAAACATAGAAATCATAAGAACTACATATTTATTTGAAAGGCTCTGATGTTGCTGAATAAAAACGTCACAGGAAATTTTTCTTTGGGTGGCAAATTAATAGTACATGACAATGTTTTGTTGTTTCAAATTCTTTGAAGACTTATTTGTACCAGAAATGACTTGCAAGGGTTTCCAGAAAACACTGTCTTAGAATTCTCCCAGAACTATGAGGTGGGGTGACTGTGGCCTGAAGAGGGGAACCAATCACAGGCAGGAGAGACAACTTACCCAAATCAGACAGTCGAGGGTGGTGGATGCAGAATCTCTAAACAGACTTTCATTATGTACTCTATAAGAAAGCCATCTCCATTTTAGAGAACAATATGAAAATTGACAATAAATGGGATTTCTTTTACTGTCATTCATTTCATAAGATTTTACTCCCATGAAATTGCAAATATAGAGCCATGCATCGAAACCTCTCTCATCTTTACAACTTCTACTCATCACAATGTGACAGCTAGGAGGCCAGATCACAAACATTGCCCTTTTGGATGTGAGGAGAGAAAACATAATGATCAGAAATGTTTTAGAATACTTCTAAAGTTGCAGTGGGGCAATAGAGCATTTGCTTGCCTTGTAGTGTGCTGAGCCCTAGGTTGGAACTTCAATAGCTGTTGAAAGAAATAAAACATCTAATATTTGTTTAAGAACACACATACAAGCTGGGCGTTGGTGGCGCACGCCTTTAATCCCAGCACTTGGGAGGCAGAGGCAGGCAGATCTCTGTGAGTTCGAGACCAGCCTGAACTACCAAGCGAGTTCCAGGACAGCCTCCAAAGTCACAGAGAAACCCTGTCTCGAAAAACCAAAAAAAAAAAAAAAAAAAAAGAACACACATACATACTTTGAAATGTGAAAAATATCAAGCATACAATGTCACTGTTTGTTGCATTTGTGTAGATAAAAGAACAATGGAAATTCACAGTATTTTGATTACTAGTTTCTACACCAAAGTAAGCAAGATCAGGCAAACTAATCTCCAGCAAGCACAACAGAACAGGGAGTTGCACAACCTCACACACCACCTGGGGTCAACACATCTAGGGCAACAGGCACTGAGATTTAAACCTGAGGACCACCGTTATTCCCCATCTTAGTTTTCAAAGCTTGTTATTTGTTAGACAGCAGATGCACCCATTTCCTTACATTCCAAAAATATCCACTCTCACCTAAAGCAACAACTGGAACTTCGGCTGAAGACTCATAAACCTCACATGTATTCGAGTAGTAACGAAAGGAAACAAACACAGATGATGTGTGACGATTGGATTCTCCCTGATTTTCTCTTGCATTATCCTTCTTTTCTATGAGATGTTATCACATGGTTCTGTGAACACTGTCCTCCCAAGAGAGTCTTTATCATCATATAAACGAAGGGTATAAATGCTTGGGGAGGGTGAAAAGGAAAGGGGATAAACACAAGCAAATGAAAACCCCTTGGACCTGACGTCATGGAAAAATAAACATAAAGACACTAAGATGGAAACAAAATAGTGCCATGGTTTACATGTGGGGTTTGGATGGAATCTAGGGCTGTGTTCAATTTATAACTCACCATCTCAAAACCACTTCTTTTCATCCGCCTGCAGGACTTGAGGTAAGTACGGATACGTTTTCTGGCACGCTCTTGGTACTCAGGGAATTGTCGCCTGCATGAGTCAATGATAGCCTGGATCTTTTCTTTGGGCTGCTTAGAGATTGGGACCATTCGGTCCAAGTTTTCATCTACAAACAGCCTGACAAACATCTGTTGGCAAGAGGGAGACAGAGGAGAAGGGTTTGGAGGACTGCTCTCTTCTGTTCCTAGCTTCCTGTTTTGATTACCGAGAGGAAAATAATTCTTTTTCTGGTCTTATGCACTGGAGAATTTTGCAAATGGAAAGCCAGAAATTTTAAGCAAACACTCTTTAAAGATTTTCTAAATGGTTGAATTAAGTATATAAATATATATATATATAAAGAGAGAGAAAGAGAGGAGGATAGGGAGAGAGAGAAAGAGGAAAGCAGACATACAAACAGACAGAAAAGAATGAAAAATAAAACATCAGGAAATAACAGTAGAACCAGGACGGCTGAGTACCCATTACATTTGCTTTTAGTGATAAATGGGAATGAGACATTGCCACACTACACAGTGGACTCATTTCTGAGAACCAACAGTTGACTCTCTTGTCATGCACAATTAAGAAAGCAAAGGAAATAACTGATGACAGACAGGCATAACCATCTGAGGACTAAGCTGAGCCCCCTTCAAACTAGGTGAACATGCATACTCACACAACACAATTCCCGTTCTCAGCACCCATTTGGCTTTACAATTCTAAACAAAACAGCAATTCCGGTGTCTGCTTGTCAAAGAGTGTTTCATGTACTTTAAAAATCCTTCTGAAAATTAAACAAACATGGTTCTACAATATTCACATTGACCAACAAGCAACGGCATGAACGTGAAGTGGTCAAAACATAGCCACGCAGTGCGGGGGACTCACATTGAAGGCTTTCAGCCTCTCAGCTTCCACGCCATCTGTCTCGTTCACCTTCTCAGAATCCTCATGTTCATCATGGTCATCTTCATCCTCGTCTCCGCGGTTGAGTGACAGATCCTCTGCACCTCGGTCAACACTCTCGTTCTTGCCAGAGTCATAGCTGGAGTAGCTGTGTGCTGGAGACTGAAAACAAAAAGCGACATTGGCACTTTTCAATACTCTGACAGGAATGTTATTTTATGCTTTAGTTTTCATTCCAATAGTCATTCAAAATCATGTCATATGACTTGGTAACTCTAGGTCTATAGCATTTCAATTTTTTGATCAAAGCCAATTCAAATAGATTTAAGAATACCATTTCCTCCCCTGCACTGGTAACATTTCAGCAGTGTCTTTAGCTGTTCAGAACAGCTCCACCTCTCCAGAGAAGTCTTATTGAGCTTAGTGTTTCAAGAGTAACCACTTTTTCTGCTCAATATTGACATTAATAAAAGGAGCATTCTGTAATTAATATACCATGAAATAGTGAGTCGTATAGTTGGAAGTAGTTAGAGTCATATAGCTGTAGTGTATGACCTCAGTGCATAGCCAGTCTGGCTGTATTAATTTTCTTTGAACACACTAGATACTGAAGAATAAGGATATTTAATTAATTTGCCCAGCAAAGTCTATAAAAATATTACTGAGCATAGAGGTATTAATTGCATGCTACTTTAAAATAGATTTTTAAAGGGTGAAAGATTTATACAATCTGAAGAGAAACCAGAGTAAGTAAAATAAACAAAAAAAAACAGAAAAAAGATTTGTAAGCTATCTATGAGTTTTCTGAAAATACCATTTGATTTTCATATAGTGAAAATTCATGAATCTTTTTACTAACTGATACATTATTGCTTATATACTTTAGCATTGATTAAGACAGGATAAAGCTAAAGTTAGATGATTCAAAGGATGCACTGCATACTTAAACATAAATAATTAAAATCTGAAAATTAAATGATTTTTTAAAAATTTTATCTTCATTTTTTATTTAAGTAAGAAACAAGCTTGTTTCACATGCCAATCCCAGCTCCCTCTCCCTCTCCTCCTCCCCTGTCCTCCCCACCAGGC